GAGAGAGGAGAAAGAAAGAGAGAGAGAGAGAGAGAGAGAGAGAGAGAGAGAGAGAGAGAGAGAGAACGAAAGAAAGAACGAAAGAAAGAAAGAGTCTACAAAATGCCAGAAAATACTTTTGTTATAGAGGAAGATTGAACACGGAAGAATAGAAGAATAGAATAGTACTGAGAACATTGTTATAATAGAATTGAGAGGATAGTTATAGCTGAACAGCTGACTGAGAAGAATTCTAAGGATACAAAAAAAATCATGAAACTAATTGAGGGTGAAATACTCCAGTCAGTGATATCATGAAGAGCCACATCCCTGAGGTGTGGATTATTTGGAATGGCTGAAGAACTATAAAAAGGGTAAAGAGGCTTAGCCTCAGTGTAAATGGAATCAATATATGCCACATAAAATTTAAGAATTAACAGAAACACATATTACTTATACATTCTTCCTTTGAAGGACTTTGGTTATTATATTCACTCAATGAAGTAACAAGAAACTAGGTTTTGAAGAGAAAACAACAAAATCTACCTTATTGTTAAGAGATCACTCACCTGTATTGTGAATACATTTCACAACCTCAGACACTGAAGCAGGAAGATGGGTTTCAAATATATTTTATCTTAAGCAAACAGCACTACAAAACAAAAGATGCTTCTGTAGGTTACAGAGCCAGAAATAGAGATAGTGAGACCATTATCATATGGCGTATACTGAGATGATAGGGTAAAACTTGTAGTACTATTGATAGTGGCCTTTTGGAGACCATGAAACACTTCATTTCATTGGAAATTTTTCATGTGAAAGTAAAAAATACACCAAAACTGCAAAAAATGTGAAAGGTACTGACAGACTAAATGCACATTCAATCACTGAATCTATTGAGGATTCTAGAATAAAAGAGATTTTGAAAGAAGTCAGAGATAGGAGGTTAGCTCAGTAGTAGAGAACCTTACTTGCATTCACAAGGCCCTGAATTCCATTTCAAGTGCCACACAAAAAAGGAAAAAGACATAACATACAAAAGGTATTTTCATCAAGTATTGATGTGTTAAACCTTAAATCCCTACAGAATATGAAGAATAAATTAAAACAATAAAAATGTTTTTAAACACAGGAATAAACAATTGCATATTTTTACACCATGTTATGTATTAAATGTTTGAAGTTCAGACAGATAGAGGGGTTAAGCTCAACTGCCTATGCTATAGAGTAATAATACTAAGCTTTTCTTCTGGAAGGTTAACAACTCAAGTTTGAAAACCAAAAATTAGACAAAAAGAAGGGCTGCAAGGACAGCCAACATTTTGGCCCTAACCTTTCAAGGTCAGTGAGGACTCAGCACATAGTAGAACCTGTACTGGAACACCCTGTAACTCAGTTGTGTCCCAAATTTACTGACCAAGGAGATTATGGGGCCATAGAGGAATGTGATCAATGAAGTAGAATGTTTCTAAGGAGAGTTCCATGGAAAGAAAACATTCTCTCAGGCTTTCACAGAGAGCAAATTAGTCAGGCAAAGGCCATAACTCATCCACATAGCTGACAATGACAAAGGATCTACAAGTTGAGATACAGAATTTCATGGTAAATCCTGAGGGAATTTGACCGACCTTGTCAGACACAAAAGTTACACTTCTTGTTATATAGGTCTAGCTTTGTCTTGGTCTTAACAATCCAGCAGAAAAGTATAAAAATGAGGTATAAAAAGTAAACTCATTTTAATATGCTGAGCTGTAAAAGGCTCAAGTCAACAACTTCTGACATTGCCAGCCCTACAGATAACCCACTACTATAACGTACTACTGGACTATATTGGATTATTTTGCTGAATTTACCCACCATGTCTAAATGAAATGGAATGCCCATCTCTGACAAATCTAAACAAAAGGTGAATACAAATGAACGACCATTTTGTATCTGTATATACAAAATAAGGTAGCTATACAACTATTTTCTTTTAATTCAGTAAATAGAAAAATTTGTACTAATTTTTTATGATATCCTATGTTTGTGGACAGGATATCATGTCTGCATCTTCTACTATGCATAACCACTAAGAAGACAAAAATATGTAATGTATTAACTATCGAAAGTCTTCTACTAATTGGTATTGAAACTGTCTCATTGTTATTTGTTTCTCAATTATATTGTTCTTAAAAAGTGGGGGTGGGGGGAGAAGGGAATCTGAGGCAAACAAAGAATAATCCCTTATCCAGCAAGCAGAAATCTATAAAATGCAAATGCTACAAATAATACAGGCTAATAGTGTTGTTACAACCAAGTAGAAAATTTAAAGTGGATATGACAAAATGTTTGTCACTTCTTATACTATATTCTAAATGAAACTTAAAATTGGCCATATCTCTTATTTGAAAAACTATTTTATTTTCAAATCAATTACACTGAACTCTCATTTTTTTATTTTAAAGAGAGAAAAATAATAAAATGATTCAGAATTTCAAAACAAAATTGTAGGAAATTAACAATGGTTTTTCATAGTGCTCATTGTTATCATCAAACATGTTCTCCTGAGTAAAATTGTTCCTTAACAAAAGTAATTCTTTAAAAAGTAATAATGATATTTCATTTTGGTCACATAAATTCAATATTATCATAATCTCTTAAAGTTAACACATAGATTCTAAAGTAGAATGAAATAACCAACTCCTAAAATTTCATAGGTGCAAATAAAAATGAAAATATTAAAAAAATTGTACTCCTAGCCAGGAAAAATGTCATGACTGTCTTATACTGTTAAATTTAATTGAATATCATTCATATTAACTATTGACTAACATTTTTGTGAAACAAATACTAGACTGTGAAGTTTGAAAGACTACAAGTATAGAAGTAATCAGCAACATTTACATGTGTTAAAAGTATAATTTTCAAAAACTACAGAAATGGAGACACACAAAAACGAAATGTATTATTCTGATTAAATTTAAATAAAATTTTCAGTTTTTATCTTATTCTTCACACTAGCCCATTTTCAATAAATTAGCATTTAATTAGTTTTAAAAAGCCTTTCTACTAAATATCCTGTGAAAGTCATTTCAATAGAATCTGCATAAAGTAAGCCATCTATAAAGTTTGCTTCACTATCCAGCTGAATGTACCTAGATTAAAAATCTATAGAATATACATGAGTTAGGATCACATAAAGTAACTAAAGTTACTGAATCCCAAAACAAATCAACCATGAGTTATGATGAAATTTTTCCTTACATATAATAACTTTTGCTATTTAGTTACCATACAGAAGTATACTAGTAATTCAAAATGAAAACCAAACATATAATACAACAAGATTGATTATTTTGTTCTCTGGTGCTTTCATTACTATGGTTTAAACTCTATTCTTTCCTTCACTTTTCATAATTAAAGCCCATGAAAATTATAAAGCAAGATCTTTTAACATTTTTTTCTTTGGCTACAACAATTTATTTCAAAGAATTTCATGAATATGGTCAGTTTCTCAGAATAGATTTCAATCCATTCTAAAGTGCATTGTGGAAGAAATTAGAGAAAATAAACACCATATCATAAAGCCACAGATACAAATATAAATATACAAACAGACTTTCTGGACCAGTCCACGCCAGTGGCATATCTGAGTTATTTAAAGCATACTACTTGGAATTGAATATGTCTCTTTTCTTGAGTTTGCTACGTTTCATGCAATTCTTGTCATCCAAAAATTCTCTGCCTCCAGCTAAATTTTCTGCATATTAGTTTTAAACCTATGCCCATTTGTTTTCTTTAAAAGTAAAAATGAAATTATTATCAGGAATTCAATTAATAAAATTTTACTATACTTGTAAGAAACCAATTGTTACCTCATCCTTTTGTATTTTGTGTTAAAATTAATTTTCGTTCTTTTGGATTCCAGAATT